ATATATATATATATATATATATATATATATATATATATATATATATATATTTTAATCTGTATATCTTTTGATTTTGATCCGAAGTTCAGCTTTATTTCTACGATTTGACTGGAATGTTGACTTTATTATGCTGACAAGAATGACGGTAAAATAAAAATTTATACTGGGAACATTTCCTTTACGAAGAACTTCACGGAAACTCTGGTCAATCGATCATTTCTGACCATTATAAAAAGAGGAAACCGGGAGAGCTACCTGAGATATGTGATAGATGGACAATGACAAATGTAAGGTGTCATGTGTATAATTATCATTGATGAAGCCTCTACAATAGGTCTGTAACCTTCCCCCTCCCCCACCCCCGCACAATGTTTTATTATTCATAAAGGTTAATTGGGAGCGCTCGTTAACTGGAAGTCAGATACCTGAGGGAGTAATGAAAGCACATCTGTGATACAGGGCCCAGGACAGGAAGCACAGCGACCTTCATTACCATAATGAGTATTAATTAAAGGGTCAGTCCATCCAAAAAGCTCAGTTTTTGGTAGATGCAGAAGAATTAAAGAAGAAAACACTGGACATTTAACCCTAGACATACCATTTTCCTGCAGGCTTCTAGCACCTCGGGTGACATCACAGGGGCTCCTGCTTCCTAGCATTCTCCTTGGACAGAGTGGAGGTAATGTACTGCCGTGCGAGCGCTGCTCAGCCCTGGGGTACTGTGAGCCCGGAATACGGCATGACGTGCCCCTAGGGGGACATGTATAGGACAGACTGAGCTCACAGGAAATAGGCAGAAAGACATGACTGGCGCACTCCCCTAAGAGGACTGCTGCTGCGAGACTGTGGAGAGGGTATGCAAAACTTTGAGTTTCACTGCTCCTGCAAACTGTCAGTATATCTGTGTCAGGGACCATCGCGACGCATGGGTCTGCACATGCGTAGGTGTCTGTCAAGACATGCAGGCAGCAGGGCACTAGGACCCAGGCGCACCCGTCACCTATGATGGTGCTGGGCAGGCACTAGGACCTAGGCTGCGCCTGTCAGGTCCAGGGCGGGCTACTTAAACCAGCCCTGCACAGACACAAGTTGCCGTATGGTCTGATCTTGTTCCTGTGTTCCCGTTGTTTGAGATTCGTTGCTGACCTGCCTGGACCTGACCCCTGCTGACTTCTCCTGCTCTGACCCCTGGCTAAGTTTGACCTCTCTTTTGGATATCCCTACCTGATCTGAACTACTGGTACCGACCCCGGCGAGTGATCTGGCTATCCTTCTGCCTTGCACTACGCTGACCCCTCTGTTACCGACCTGGCCCGTTTGACCACGCTATTGCTCAGCCATCCATCCGACCCGCACGGATTAGCTGCTACTCTCCAGACCTGTCTGCCTCTTCACGTCAGGCTCTCTACCTGTCATTACCTCTGGTGATTCCTCTACCTCAGGTGGGTGTACTCAGGGGCCGCGACCTGGTCACTGTCCGCTCCAAGCCCATCCCCACCATCAGGGGCTCTGGTGAACAAGCGGACTGGGGCTTAGACTCCGCGCCCTGGGGAATCCTGTCCTGTGGACTGCTAGAGTACACCAGGTGGTCCATAACAATCTGTGTGCTCATACATCCTGTACAGGCAAGCGGATACAGTCTGACAGAAAGACTCAATGAACTAACACAGCGCCGTGGTAGTTCATTGAGAACTACAAGCCGACAGTTGCAATGGTTGTTGGTACTTGTAGTTCATTCATTCACAGAACTCTGAATGACTGACGTGGCTGCATGGGCAGAACTCCGCACAGCCACGCGGTTTTCAAAAAGTGGCAGCTAGTATGGGGAACATCTCCCCATGCGAGGGGGTGGGGGGGGGGGGGGTCACGGCAACACTGGGAGGCAGTTAGGTTGGCAGGAAGCAAATGTGCTACCAAGGAGCATACTAATAGGAGTAGAGAGGATGACAACATCATTACACATCCTAAAAGCAGATTAGCCAGAGCTCACACCAGCACAAGTAAAATATGCAAATATCATGTAATCAGCGTCCTGGCTGGGACCCCAGTGCTTCAAGGCAGAAGTGCTAACCACTGAGCCACTGTGCTGCATCATCTGCCAAGCTCTGATGAATGGGGACTTTTAAACATCCAAAAATGCATTGGTTTACCTGAATGTGACCTGCAATAAACACAATTTTTGGACTTTACATAATCTCTCTTATATCAACTAGCATTCAAGTGTCACCACAGCCCTTGGACCCATGTACAGGACTATCATCCTAAAGTCAGAGTATATGACATTAATAATGTGATTTATATCATTGTGGTCAAACTGTCCATTCTGGGGACACATTAGGCATATATTTAATTTCATTTGATACTTTGTATATGTTTTTGTTTTGTGTATATATACTTTGTGCTCACATGACTTGTAACTCCACCCTTATCCCCTCCCTTTTGTTGCTGTGGGAGGAGATTATTTATATATATATATATATATATATATATATATATATATATATATATATATATATAAATATAAATATAAATATAAATATTTTACACACACACAGTCAGGTCCATAAATATTGGGACATCAACACAATTCTAACATTTTTGGCTCTATACACCACAATGGATTTGAAATGAAACGAATAAGAAGTGTTTTAACTGCAGACTGTCAGCTTTAATTTGAGGGTATTTACATCCAAATCAGGTGAACGGTGTAGGAATTACAACAGTTTGCATATGTGCCTCCCACTTGTTAAGGGACCAAAAGTAATGGGACAGAATAATAATCATAAATCAAACTTTCACTTTTTAATACTTGGTTGCAAATCCTTTGCAGTCAATGACAGCCTGAAGTGTGGAATGCATAGACATCACCAGACGCTGGGTGTCATCCCTGGTGATGCTCTGCCAGGCCTCTACTGCAACTGTCTTCAGTTCCTGCTTGTTCTTGGGGCATTTTCCCTTCAGTTTTGTCTTCAGCAAGTGAAATGCTCCATCGGATTCAGGTCAGGTGATGGACTTGGCCATTGCAGAACATTCCACTTCTTTGGTGGCTTTTGCAGTCTGCTTTGGGTCATTGTCCATCTGCACTGTGAAGCGTCCAATGAGTTGTGAAGCATTTGGCTGAATATGAGCCGATAATATTCCCGAAACACTTCACAATTCATCCGGCTGCTTCTGTCAGCAGTCACATCATCAATAAATACAAGAGAAGCAGTTCCATTGGCAGCCATACATGCCCACGCCATGACACTACCACCACCATGATCACTGATGAGGTGGTATGCTGAGGACCATGAGCAGTTCCTTCTCCATACTCTTCTCTTCCCATCACTCTGGTACAAGTTGATGTCGGTCTCATCTGTCCATGTTGTTCCAGAACTGTGAAGGCTTTTTTACATGTCGTTTTGCAAACTCTAATCTGGCCTTCCTGTTTGTGAGGCTCACCAATGGTTTCCATCTTGTGGTGAACCCTCTGTATTCACTCTGGTGAAGTCTTCTCTTGATTGGTGACTTTGACACACATACACCTACCTCCTGGAGAGTGTTCTTGATCTGGCCAACTGTTGTGAAGGGTGTTTTCTTCACCAGGGAAAGAATTCTTCGCTCATCCACCACAGTTGTTTTCCGTGGTCTTCCGGGTCTTTTGGTGTTGCTGAGCTCACCGGTGCGTTCCTTCTTTTTAAGAATGTTCCAAACAGTTGTTTTGACCACGCCTAATGTTTTTGCTATCTCTCTGATGGGTTTGTTTTGTTTTTTCAGCCTAATGATGGCTTCACTGATAGTGACAGCTCTTTGGATCTCATCTTGAGAGTTGACAGCAACAGATTCCAAATGCAAATAGCACACTTGAAATGAACTCTGGACCTTTTATCTGCTCATTGTAATTGGGATAATGAGGGAATAACACACACCTGGCCATGGAACAGCTGATAAGTCAATTGTCCCATTACTTTAGGTTCCTTAACAAGTGGGAGGCGCATATGCAAACTGTTGTCATTCCTACACCGTTCACCTGATTTGGATGTAAATACCCTCAAATTAAAGCTGACAGTCTGCAGTTAAAGCACATCTTGTTCGTTTCATTTCAAATCTATTGTGGTGGTGTATAGAGCCAAAAATGTTAGAATTGTGTTCCTGTCCCAATATTTATGAACTGTGTAGATTATATATATATATACACACACACACACACACATATATACATACATACATACTGTATATATAGGACTGTGTGAATTCAAACCTAATTTGGCTCTGAGGAAGAGGGTTTCATCCCTTGATATGTGTCAGCCTAGGGTGCTACGCAGACTTCTCACATCATTGCTTTTATTTCGTGGGCGTAGAGGCGGTTTCTTCTGCATGTATTATATGCCCACCCACTACACACGTTTGTGAGTAGACGACCTATTCTTTACCTATTTCAATAATAGGTGTTTTTGGTAATGCACTAGGTGGGTACGCCCTCTCTCTTTTATTTTCAGTCCAACGAGGGCACCCACAGTCCTAAGAGGGCAGTAAGACCTCTGGCTCCACACCCACTGGCCAGACAGGAGGACTACAACCTTCAGCACTGCACCCAAACATCGAAGTTTGGCTTTTTTTTATCCATTAACAATATAAACCTGACAGAGGTTCTGGCTGCATTTAGGTATCAGTTATATACAGCACTTCAGATAGCTGTATTTAAACCCTACATCTATTGTTCATTATATACATTCTTCTTAAAGCCCAACTCCGGGGAAACATAGAATTTATGCCTACTTCGCAATTGGCAGCAGTGTTGTCAGCTAGCCAGATGTGCTTCTTCTGTCACCTGTTGGGGGGGTTGTTTGGGCTACCTTGACATTCCAACAGCCAAAAAAACAAAAACACAAAATCCAAACAAAAAACAAAACAAAAACACATTTTTATCATTTGAATACAATGTTCTGCTTTTTATTAGGCCAGTGCTCCTAATGGAGGGGGGAGGGGCCTATACTCAGTGAACGTGTATTGCTGCTTACCAGGTCAGGCGCTCATACTCGTTCTCCAGCTTATGAATGAAGGCAACCAAGGAATTCTTTATATCGGAAACCTGAGCAATGAGGGTCTCCAGGCTGGTCTCCAGCTGCTTTTCCTCTCGCTGTAGAAACAAACAAACAAAAACAGACATTCAGAAAAAAAAAAGATAAAACAAAAAGGAGCTAAATGGCTTAAAGCAGACCTTCCACCACCTCCTTACAGAGCAAATCCTAAAGGAGGAAATCTAATAGGCAGTTCTAACGCCTTTTTTAAAAATGTCTTACACTTCAATTTGTGCTGGGAAGGGGGAGGGGGGGTGCTAGAAGAGGGTATTGGTGGTAGGGAAGTTGGGGGAATTTGTGCTAGGAAGGGGAATTTGTGGTGGTGTGCTAGAAGAGGGTACTGGTAATGGGGAAGTTGGGGGAATTTGTGCTAAGAGGGGGGATTTGGGTTAGGAGGGAAAATTTTTTTTGGGGGGGGGGGGGGGTTTCATTCTGGATTTGTTTTCAAAGTTTCACATGAAGGGCTATAAATTTTATGTTCCTATTGATGCCATGAGAGTCTAGCACAGGGGTGGGCAAACTTTTTGACTTGAGGGCCGCAATGGGTTCATATATTGGACCCGGGGGCCGGACCAAGAGTAGAATGAATGATGTGTATGTGTGTCATCCATAGTAAGTATAGTAATATTCCCCCATAGTAAGCATAGTAATTAATCCCCCATAGTAATTAATCCCCCATAGTAATTAATCCCCCATATAGTAATTAATCCCCCATATAGTAATTCATCCCCCATAGTAATTCATCCCCCATATAGTAATTCGTCCCCCATATAGTAATTCGTCCCCCATATAGTAATTCGTCCCCCATATAGTAATTCGTCCCCCATAATTAATTCATCCCCCCTATAGTAATTCATCCCCCATAGTAATTCATCCCCCATATAGTAATTCATCCCCCACATAGTAATTCATCCCCCATATTAATTCATCCCCCATATAGTAATTCATCCCCCCATATAGTAAGTCCCCCATATAGTAATTCATTCCCCATATAGTAAGTCCTCCATATAGTAATTCATTCCCCATATAGTAAGTCCCCCATATAGTAATTCATTCCCCATATAGTAAGTCCCCCATATAGTAATTCATTCCCCATATAGTAAGTCCCCCATATAGTAATTCATTCCCCATATAGTAAGTCCCCCATATAGTAAGTCCTCCATATAGTAATTCATTCCCCATATAGTAAGTCCCCCATATAGTAATTCATTCCCCATATAGTAAGTCCCCCATATAGTAATTCATCCCCCATATAGTAAGTCCCCCCCTGTGTCAATTCACTTACCTTTGGTCCGCGCGTTCCTCTCGTATTCCCGCGCCGTTCTGGTCTTCAGGGAGGACTGTGAGAGGAGTTTGTCACGCTGCCCCCGCCTACATCCTGACAGCTGCAGAGTCCTGACGTCCGAGAGGAGGGAGGGGGGCGGCCATCCGAGAGGGGGGGCGGCCATCCGAGAGGAGAGGAGGGGAGGGGAGAGAGGAGGAGAGGAGGGAGGGGAGAGGAGGAGAGAGGGAGGGAGGGGAGCGGGCGCCCGGCACACAGGAGAGCCGCATCTAAATTTGTAAAGAGCCGCGGCTTGCCGACCACTGGCCTTGCGGGAGCCTAGCTCCGCGGGCCGGATTAAAAGGTCCGCCGGGCCGTATACGGCCCGCGGGCCGTAGTTTGCCCATTGCTGGTCTAGCATCAAGTCAGTGAAACCCCTGGGATATTGATCTGGTCAGGTAAGTAGCAGAGGGGGTTGTTTCATCAGTTTCAGCTGCTTTGGTGTTCATGAAATTAACAACAGGTGCTCTAGATGGACAACAATGAGACCACCCCCAAAACAGGAATGGTTTTACAGGTGGAGGCCACTGACATTCTTTCCCTATTCATCATTTGACTGTTTCTCACTAGTTTTTGCATTTGGCTAGGGTCAGTGTCACTACTGGTAGCATGAGGCCATACCTGGACCCTACAGAGGTTGCACAAGCAGTCCGGCTCCTCCAGGATGGCACATTAATACATGCCATTACCAGAAGGTTTGCCGTGTCTCCCAGCACAGTCTCAAGAGCATGGAGGAGATTCCAGGAGACAGGCAGTTACTCTAGGAGAGCTGGACAGGGCCGTAGAAGGTCCTTAACCCATCAGCAGGATCGGTATCTGCTCCTTTGTGCAAGGAGGAACAGGATGAGCCCTGCCAGAGCCCTACAAAATGACCTCCAGCAGGCCACTGATGTGAATGTCTCTGACCAAACAACCAGAAACAGACTTCATGAAGGTCTCCCGACGTCCTCTAGTGGGCCCTGTGCTCACTGCCCGGCACCATAGAGCTCGATTGGCATTTGCCATTGAACACCAGAATTGGCAGGTCCACCACTGGCGCCCTGTGCTTTTCACAGATGAGAGCGGGTTCCCCCTGAGCACATGTGACAGACGTGAAAGGGTCTGGAGAAGCCGTGGAGAACGTTCTGCTGCCTGTAACATGGTTCAGCATGACTGTTCTGGTGGTGGGTCAGTGATGGTCTGGGGAAGCATATCCATGGAGGGACACACAGACCTCTACAGGCTAGACAATGGCACCCTGACTGACATTAGGTATCGGGATGAAATCCTTGGACCCATTGTCAGACCCTACGCTGGTGCAGTGGGTCCTGGGTTCCTCCTGGTGCAGTGGGTCCTGGGCTCCTCCTGGTGCAGTGGGTCCTGGGCTCCTCCCGGTGCAGTGGGTCCTGGGCTCCTCCCGGTGCAGTGGGTCCTGGGCTCCTCCCGATGCAGTGGGTCCTGGGCTCCTCCTGGTGCAGTGGGTCCTGGGCTCCTCCTGGTGCAGTGGGTCCTGGGCTCCTTCCGGTGCAGTGGGTCCTGGGCTCCTCCTGGTGCACTACAATGCCCGGCCTCATGTGGGGGAGTATGCAGGCAGTTCCTGGAGGATGAAGGAATTGATACCATTGAATGGCCCCCGCACTCGCCTGACCTAAATCTAATAGAACCCCTCTGGGATGTCATGTTTCGGTCCATCCGACTCCACCAGGTTGCACCTCACACTGTACAGGAGCTCAGTGATGTCCTGGTCCAGATCTGGGAGGAAACCCCCCAGGACACCATCCGTGGTCTCATTAGGACCCTCCCCCGACATTGTCAGGCATGCATACAAGCACATGGGGGCCACACAGACTACTGAGGACCATTCTGAGTTGCTGCAATGACATTTCAGCAAAATGGACTCACCTGCTGCATCATTATTTCACTTTGATTTTCGGGGTGTCTTTGAATTCAGTCCTCTGTAGGTCGATCATCTTCATTTCCATCAAACAATGGGACATCCTTACATTCCTCACCCATCCCCCGTCCATGTCAGTATAGAGATCCAGCAGGAGATTCCTCCCCATTGAGATCTGATGGGTTTTCAGAGTCTTCCTTACATTTTTTTTTTTGAGCACTATACATACAATATTAATGGTGCCATTGACAAAAACCCAAGAGTTCACCATTAAAGTCCAACTTCAGCCAAAATGTTTTCTCTTTGGGGCAGAGAAGGGAAGTGTTAGAACCCCCATCAGGTTTTTATTGCTTTCTCTCTGTTCCTTTGTTTGGATAAAAAGCCATGAGAGCTTCCATGCCAGGCCGTGGACAGTCTATAGATCGCTCTGTTTTCTATGTAGTTTGTCTGCAATGTACCTGCCAAGGACTGAGAAGAAGGAAGGAATTGGCTCTGTGTGCCTGATAAGCCCAATGTCTTCGCTGGACGTATGCCAAAAACAATGCTCAGTGATGGACTCGTACGATGATTGGAGGCGGTAGGCTTCCTCTCTGGGTAGACATTTATATACATACAAATATGATCACAGATGATCAGGTTTATTAAGGGCCATGGCTCTTTAAAGCAGGGAACGACAATTGGAAAGGCAGGATAGAAACGTTCTCCACGCTGACTCCAATGACATACAATGACCAGGAATACATGTCAGCCTGACCCGCCACATCCCAGGGGAGAGTCTACACCACGAGGACTGTACGTGGATTAACCCGCTAACACTTCTCATTCTGTAGTCAAACCATAGGCCTGTCTTTTGCTACATTACAACCCTTTGATAAACAGAGAGATAATCTGAGCTCTTCTATGTTATATACAGGTTTGTGTCCCCTGGCAGGAATGGTGACATTTTGGCACGGATTATGAAAATATGACCAAAAAACTTTTATTGAAGGATGATGATCATATGACGCCATTTATCATCATATCGTTGTTTGGCTCCTTTTAAAATCCTAATGATAGCAGAAATCCCCCAAATGGCCCGGATCAGAAGTCTCCGCCCCCCCCCCGGGTCAGAAGTCTCCGCCCCCCGGGTCAGAAGTCTCTCCGCCCCCCGGGTCAGAAGTCTCCGCCCCCCGGGTCAGAAGTCTCCGCTCCCCGGGTCAGAAGTCTCCGCTCCCCGGGTCAGAAGTCTCCGCCCCCCGGGTCAAAAGGTCTCCGCTCCCCGGATCAAAAGTCTCCGCTCCCCGGATCAAAAGTATCCGCCCCCCCGGATCAGAAGTCTCCGCCCCCCGGATCAGAAGTCTCCGCCCCCCGGATCAGAAGTCTCCGCCCCCCGGATCAGAAGTCTCCGCCCCCCGGATCAGAAGTCTCCGCCCCCCGGATCAGAAGTCTCCGCCCCCCCGGATCAGAAGTCTCCGCCCCCCCGGATCAGAAGTCTCCGCCCCCCGGATCAGAAGTCTCCGCCCCCCGGATCAGAAGTCTCCGCCCCCCGGATCAGAAGTCTCCGTCCCCTGGAATGTTTGGCCTTGGTACAGACACACAAGTGGGCCCACACAGGTACAATGACCATTAAAGTTTAATGTCCCACATCTGTGGCTTTTTAAAATTGCAATTAGTGTCTGTGTATAAATAGTCAATGAGTTTGTTAGCGCTCACGTGGATGCACTGACTAGGCTAGATACTGAGCCATGGGGAGCAGAAAAGATATATAAGGATATATAAAAGGATATAAAAAGGATATAAAAGGATATAAAAGGATATAAAAGGATATAAAAGGATATAAAAGGATATAAAAATAAGTCCAAAGCCTTGACTATGCCAGTCAATCACTTATTAAGAAGTGGAAAATTTGGGGATTT